TCCTAGGTAAGTCAGTTTCCTCATCTATAAAATTAGTTGGAGAAGGAAATGGCAAACCACTCCTGTATCTTTGCCAAGAAAACCCCTAATGGGAACACAAAGAGTTGGACATGACTGAACAACAACAAAATGAATGAATTTATCAGTTCTTTTCTTGAAGACATTTTTCCCGGTAAAGGATGAAAACAGCAAACTCACCTCTCCTAACTTTCCTTTTGCTGTTGTGGGCACTGCTAAACTTCTAGTTATTCAAGTTCACAACGTAACTGGAGAGTTATTTATTCTTGACTTTTCACTCTCTCTCTCCTCCCCTTTCCAATGCCTTCACAATATCCAATTAGTTGTCAGATCTCATTGTTAACCTCAACAACATCTCATGCATCTCTCCTGTTCTCATCTGGACAGAATCCTACTCCAGATCTTCATAACCTCTTGCTATGGAATTATTGGAATAGGTTCCTTAATGTTCTCTTTGCCTCTAATCTCTCCCCTCCCTCCAATTCATTCTCCATACAGATGCCAAATTGACATTCCTAAAGTATAGAGTTGGCCATGCACTCCCTTGATCGAGAAGCTTTACTAATTCCTTATATTTCCTTTAGGATAAAATAAAAACTCCTTGTTTGGACTTTAAAGCCTTTCGTGATCTTTGGCTCAAGCTTATTTTTCTGGTATGATTTCATATTACGCCCCCTCACACACACACCCACTACATTCCAGCCAAACTGGACTGCTTGCTGTTTGTCATCTAGGGCATTCCATTTCCTGCCTTGGTGTCTTTGGATAAGCTGTCTTCCATGTCTGGAATGTTCTCCCTCTTCATCTCTGCCTCTTCAAATGTCTAACAACCTTGGAAGCGTAGCTCAACTGCTATCTCAGGCAAAAGAGCCTTTCCTGATCTCAACAGAGTCACTGCTTTCCCACCCACTAACATTACTTTGTATTTATATGCGTACATGTTGTTTCCCCTGTTAGGATATGAATTCTTGAAGGGTAGTAACTATTTTGATTTTGTCTGTCTGTCTCTCTCTTCACCCTCCCCCCCCACTCCTTTTTTGCTACTACACCAAGTAGCAGAGTACTTTTGAATGGACTATTAAAATAAGGGACATTGAGTGTATTACTGTAGCCCAACATTGAAATCCTCTTTGTATTTTCCTTTCTTTAGTCTTGACTTAAATATTTTTGTTTTAGAAATTGATATCAAATGTACCTATGCCTAAAGCTACTTATATTTTCAATAAGAATGGGACGGCACATGCTTATTTCACATATGTATAGTAGCATAAGTAATGTAATTCAAAATAGCACACAATGGGCACTTAATAAGTGCTAATTAAAATGTGTTGAAATAAGGATACAGGTGCCAGAAAGGTGAAAAGTGTGCCACTAGAATCTGAAGGGAAATAAAAAGGTACCTACAGAAGAGTTGGGGGAAAAACAAGTTTCACAATGTTGCTAAGAATTAACCCTGATATATTCACTGGTTGTTCTCAGTCTTTGGAGGATCTTAAAGGGTCATAGCCCTTTGTCTGAACTCCATTAGCAAAATTCCAGATAAAATAGAGTTATAGCTAATTACAGCCTAATAAAAATGAAATTTAAAACTTACCAATCAATCAATTTTCTGAATTCATCTTTATGCTTTTTGCAATTGCATAATGGAGGTCCTATTACATAATTATGTGCCTACTTTTGATTTTTACTAAATATGGGATTTTAACTCATGTTTGTCTTTGTTATGATTTATCAGATATTAACATGGTAAAGTTTTGATTTATTATATTTAATATGATAAAATATTGTTTCTTATTGGAACATCAACAAACGACAAAAACTCTATGTTAGGTGGCAGGGCAGGTGGCTGGGTCACTGGAGGTTTGATGTGGTAGTAAAGTCAAGAGAGTTGAAGACATGGAGCAGTGTCATGGGGACTGAGATTTAAGCAAAATTTTTAGCTAGGCAGGCAGAGATCAGAATGGATTACAAATAGCACAACTGAAGACCTAATATGATTGACATAGGTCAGTTTAAAAAAAGGGAGGACAAGTCTGGTAGACAAGAAAGCTAAGTCATGAGCTGGTCTAGAAAGAACAAAACCCAGGCAGGCTTAGTGGGCTAGAGAAAGTGAAGCACCAGGAGTAACAGCTAGGGAACAGAAACAATAATGCAAGGGATTTGTTGAGAAGAGAATGGATAGTGAGCAAGCAGAAGCAATGGTATTAACAAATTTTACAAATGTTTAGCAGGAAAGATAGGATGGAGCTAGATGAGACAAAAAGGTTAAGGAAGAGACTTTCTTTCTCTTTTTTTAAAGATGGAAGAAACCTAAGCATGTTTGTAGGCAAATATAAAGAAAGTAGCCATTTTAACAGAAAGACTGAAAATGCTTACAAAAAGCTATGACTCCTGATGCAAAACCCTGAAGGAGGAAGGAAGGTAGAGAATCAAGGAAGCAGGAAGAGGGGCTAACCTAAGTAAGGAATAGAGATTCCTCTTCCTCTAGGACTAAAGGAAAAAAAGGGAAGGGAAGGGAGCATTCTAAGTGCCTATTACATACCAGTCACTGTGCTAAGCATTTTACAAATATTATCTAATTTATCCTCACAACAACTTTGTGAGCTAGGTACTATTATCATCTCCATTTTACCGATGAGAAATCTGAGGCAGACAAAGGTTAAGTGGTTTGCCCTTGGTCAGATAGCTAGAGAGTATCTGATGAAGTATTTGAATTCAGGTCTTCCTTTTTCCAGATCTAGTGCTGCAGCTACTGTATCCCTTATCTCTCTTCCAGAAGGGGAAAGAATGACTATGCTGAGAAAAACTGAGGAAGAGGAGAGAAGTGAGTAAGTTGATATCAAATGGCCACAACTTTCTCCATAAAGTAGGAAATTAAGTCATCTGCTTTAAGTGTTGAAGGTAAGGGTGAGAGGAAAGAGGAAATAGTTTGGAATGGTTATTGTGAGGAATTAGATAGTAGTTAATAACACGAATTAGATCCATTTTTTGTATCATGGATCAATGTGACAGTCTAGTGAAACCTATAATCCTCTACCTAGAATAATCTTTTTAAATGAAATGCCAAACTTAAGTTACATGTTAGTGAAATTAAAAATGTAATTTTTTCCCATCCAATGCCAGTGGTCTCCTAAAATCTATCCACGGACTGTCTGGGAGTTCATGGGTTCCAGGTTAAAAACTCCTGGACTATATAATTTCGGAGGTTCCTTCCAACTTAAGAATTTCAATGAAATGTATGTATGTGTATGTATGTATGTATATATATATATATCTATATGTATATATATATCTATATATATATATATATATATATATATATATGATCCCACAGTTATATTGCAAATTGGTTATATTGAAATTAATCTATCCTCACATACATAGTGATACCAGGTGTCTCTCTTTAAGCTGCAGAGAACAAACTAAATTAAATGCAACAAATTTCTTCAGGACCTATTATATGCTAAATAGTACACTAAGCACTGGGAATAAAATGGAAAAAATGAAACAGTCCTTGCCCTAAAGAGCTTACCTTCTGAACTAAGGTTGATGCCATGTGAGTGAAGAGAAGGGGGATGATGTGAGAAATATTATAGAGGTAGAACAGGCTAAAGTTTGCAAATAACTGAGGCGAAGGAAAGGAAAGAGTTGAGGATGTCTCTGAGGTTGCAAACCTAAGTGACTGAGAGTGCGGCACCCTCAACAGAAACATGAAAGTTAAGAAGAGGGATGGTATAACTAAGTCATTTTGACTACTATAAATACCCAAATTAACTACAAAAGACATATGAAGGAAGACACTGTCTGCATCCAGAGAAAGAACTGACAAATAGAAATATGTATAAAATGGTTTTACATATGTGTGTACTTATACATATATATCATACCTACATGCATATTTGTATCTAATGGTAGCCATCTTAGCAAGGAGAGGGGAGAAAAAAAGAAAAAAGAAAGTTACATGATGACTTTATTATATATTTAAAAGGAACAGCAAGTTGTACATAAAAAGATTTGCAGTTTCATGTACAATCTTCTTTTTCCTCCTATTTACTATGTTACAGAAATGCTTGTTTTATTTCTTAAGTTCAGAATAAAATAAAACTTTTACACAAGAAAAAAGATGGTTTTGTAGGTGAAGATGAGTTCTGTTTTGGACTTGTTGAATTTGAGATGCCAATGGGACGGCAAGATGGCAACATTCTGTAAGCATTTGGTAAAGCAGGACTGACAACCAGGAGAGAGATGAAAGCTAGATATATGAATTTGAGACTCATTTGCATAGAGACGATACTTGGATGCTTGAGAACTAATGAGATGATCAGCAAAAGAATGAGTGTAGAGGGAGAAAAGAATCCAGGATACATTCTTACGATGTTTGAATACAGAGAGACAGTAATCCAGGAAAAAAAGACTGAGAAGGAATGGCTTAGGCAAGTAGGAAAAGGGCCAGTAGAGAACAGTTTCACAAAAGTCTAGGGAATAGAATATCTGAGAGAAAGTAGGGAGTAGAATGGTCAATAGTGTTGATCTGCAGAAAGTTCAAGAAGAATGAAGACTAAGAAAAGACCACCAGATTTAGCAGTAAGAAAATAAATGGTGACCTTGGATAGAGCAGTTTCACTTGCATAGTGGGATGTTAAGCCCACTAAAAAAGACTGAGAAATAAGTGAGAAGTGAGGAAGTGTAAATCACAAATGTAGATGGGATTTTCTAGGGATTTGGTAAGTGGAAAGAAACAGAAAGATAGCAGGGTCAAATGAATGTGTTTTAAGGTTGTATGTAGGGGACAGATTGAATACATCAATGAAATCACCCCATTTAAAATAAGTGATAAGATGCCAGCCCAAAGATGTTGAGCTAGATGCTTGGATTTCAAAATCCTAACAGTAGTGGCAGCTAGGTGGCACAATGGATAGAGCTCCAGCCTTAGAATCTGGAGGCCCTGAGTTCAAATGCAGCCTCTAGATACATAACACTTAATAGCAAGTGACTCTGGGCAAGTCACTTGACCCCAATTGCCTCACCAAAAAAAGACCCCCCAAATTCTAACAGTAGATACCTTTAAAGAATCATGATTATAGCTACTAGATCTTTGAGGGTCTGTGATTTCATTGGCATGGATACTCTTTTTCTCCACTGATAAGCTCTTTCAAAATTAAAGAGGTTGGCCTCCAACGGCAGTAATCCTCTATCAAAAGCCATACCTCTGAAACCTTTCCTTCTAGCTTAGCCAGTTTGGGCTGATATTGCCTGTGAGAAGCCTGGGTCACCTTCCACCCCAAGACAAAGCACCGGAGTCTTTTAGTGGAGATGGGTCTGACACAGTCCCTGAATGACAAATGTTGTGATGGAGCCACGAGTGGGTCACATGTAAGAAACATTGTTGAGGGCTGCTATTTATAACTGCTATTTGCCTTACCAGCTGTTAAATTCTCAGAAGTCAGCTGTACCCCCAAATCAACCCTGTAATTGGCAAGGCAGGAAAGTAAACTGATAACAGCATACTGATTCTTAGAAAAATTTCCCCGGGTGCTATGAGAAATACTATCATCCCACAGCTGAGTAAATTAAAAAAGAAAATTTCCTTTGGGAACAAACAAAACAATGAACTTGGACCCAACGCACCCAATGTATCCGTCAAAAAGGGTACAAAAAAAAAAAAGCAGAGAAAATAGGGGTGAAATCAGGGAGAGGAACTGTGGCATGACTCTCTTTCCAGGGGCCAGACGTGAGGGTTAATAAAAGAGGGAAGGGTCCCCAGGGGCGCAGTCCAACACGAATCTGTCCTATTGCTCACGCCCCGTGACTGCCCAGACGTCACTCACTGGGCAGAGACTCAGAAGGGGCGGGGACGAAGACGAAGTCACGTGGGTGCAGCCGGCGAGACAAGGAAAGAAGCTGGTTTGAACGGGACAGGAGAGTACTCCTACGGCTGTCACGCTCCCAGAAACAACATCCCCCAGCATGCAGCGCAGCAACGACCGCCAGACCTTTAGGTTCCACGGGGCGTGTTGCAGGATGGGATTGGGAAATTACGCCTCTGACAGACCGGAACGGATGCGGGGTGGTGAGGAGTAGGGGTCGATTGGTCCGTCCGGATTGGTAAGTGAGGAGGCCCCGCCCACAGATGGTGACGACAACGGTCCCAGTACATAAGGCGTTGTGGCCCCTGACCGCCCCGCCTTAGCTCCCGCGCTAGAGAGAAACATGTATCGATTTCGCTCACAGCTCTTCACGGGGATTTCTGCTGCCGCCATCGCCCACTCTTCCCCTCGCCGTTTCTCGCCTTTGTTGTTAGCCGAAGATTTATCGCTTAGCCACCCGCCGCACAGACGCACGAGTAAAAAGTGCAGCTCCATCGGCTGATCCTCGCTGTGCTTCCACCTCCAGGCGGCACCGGGCGTCCCACGATGCCGAAGAATAAGAAGCGGAACACTCCCCACCGCGGCGGCGGCGCAGGAGCAGCAGCGGCGGCGGCAGCAGGTGAGGGCCGTCCCACCACCGGCATCCTCGTCGCTGTCGGCCTAGTCCACGCGTCGCCCCCGGGCTCGGGCATTGTGGGAGTTGTAGTGCTCCTCCTCTGTGGCCTCCGGTTTCGGGGTTACCCCGTGGAGGACCGGAGAACTACCACTCCCGACATGCCTTTGAGATCGTGCAGCGCTGTCCCCTCGCGCACAATGGCGGAGGCCGTGGGGCTGTAAGGGACAAGGGGCGGGGTGTGGGGGGGAAGGGGTGCGCTAGGTCCCTGAACCTGAGAAGGAAGCTGGCGACTGGGAGGAAGGGAGTTTTCCCGGGATCGAGGTGACAGGACGCAGAGGGGTCTCGGACAGTTTTATCTGCTGTTGCTGGACCTCGCTCCCGGACGCTCCCTCCCTCTCCCCTCTAACCCCCTTTCCAAAATGGAGTCTCCGGGGAATGTCACCCGCCCGCCGGCCTGGCACCTTCCTTCCCAGAGTCGGAATTCCCGGTAACTTCTGGCCCTTCCCTCTGCCCCCCCCCCTCGTGCGTAGGACCCGCCGGCTCGTGCGTCAGCCGGAGCGGGGCCTGAAGCTGTGGGGTGACAGAGGGGGATCTAAGTCTGCTAGACCTAGTGCCCGTGACCTCCACTCCAGCCCCCAAACAACCAACCTCCAGAGTGGCCTTGGAGCAGGACTTCCTGCTAGACACAGAAACAGGGGGCTAAGTTTCCCTCGCCCCATCAGCCTTCACATTAACAGCCATCTCTGGACAAGCCTCTTCTCCCTCCCCAGGCTCAGATTACCGCCCCCCACTCCCTACCCCCTTATCTCTGATCTCAGTACTCTTGTTCCTTTCCCTGGTGGATACTTGCAGTTCTAGACCGAATTCACTTGAAGTTATGACTTGAAGGAACACTCATCTCTTTACATTCATCCACCAGGTACTCTGAAAACAAGTAAAAAGGATAAGGAAGGGGCGATGAGAAAATCAAACCAGTAAAAGATTAACGAAAAAGCAGAAACTCTTGTTTCCTTATTTGGAAACTAATGTATAAATATTCTTTTATTCCTGTTGACCAAACAGGAATGCTTTATTCATTATTTCTCTACTTGTGGTTGAGTTACTGACGTTGTCATTGTTCTCATCCTAGCTAAGCTCATATTCTGTACAGAACTAAACAGTTTAAAACCAAAACACAGCATTAGCCTACAAAGGTATTATTCAGTGATTGAGTTTAAGTTTCTGATATCTAGAGGGACTATCATCAGTCAGTGTAGGCATGTAAGTAATTGCAAGTTTTTTGGAAAGTTTTGATTAACCCCACTGATGATTGAAATTCAGACTGATTTATCTTATTTCATATGGAATAAGTCAAATTTTAGCTTAGAGGATGATTCTGAGTTAGTACCCTGGGAAAAGTACTGATAGAATTATTGCTCTCTGCTTAAAGTTTGTACTCTTTATCAGAAAGCCTATTGAATAATTGCTATGGTCTATACAAAATGCTTTTGAAAACAATATTTTTCTATTTTTCTCTGCCCTCCACTTTGACTTTCTCTAAAATATGTGATTCTTTGATTTAGAATAGTCATCTTGGAGTAGTAGATAGAGGAGACCAGCCTTGGATAAAATACTACCTTTTGATGTATAGAATAACTATGTGATTGGACAAAACCTTAGCACGCAGGGCAGCATCTTGCAGATGATTTGTATTAATTGAGGAAGTTCCCCATTCCACATTATGACCTAGATCAAGGGTGAGGTACCTGCAGCCTTGAGGTCACATGTAGCCCTCTAGGTCCTCAAGTTCGGCCCTTTGACTGAATCCAAATTTCACAAAACAAATCCCCTTAATAAAAGGAGGCCAAAGATTCTCCACTCCTGCCCTAGATGCTCACTTCCCCCTCTAAAGAAAATTATTTCAGCTGCTATCCCAAGTAGGTGGTGTTTCCAATGTAGAATGCCTTGTGCATTTTTTGTTAGATGTGTGTTCAGTGAAGAATGGAGTTTGCATCATTCCTGAGGTATGTATTCATCAAATTTGGGTGCACAAATGATATATACATAAACTTGGCTGGTTTCTGTTTCTGGCAGTTAGTCTTGATTCTGTAGCCACAGGGCTTTGAATAATTTGCTTTAATCTCTCTGGACTATATTGTTTACCTTAACTATATACAAAATGAGGACAAACTTATACAACTTTCCTAAGGTTTCTTTCAGCTTTGTTCCTTTCATGTTCTGTGTTCTAATGTACCTTGTCATATTGTTGACATAGAAATTATGGAAGCAGTGCCTTAAAAACTGATGTGATAGTGGTAGCATGAGTAATGCTGATACTAATGCCTTTCTCGTATTAGAAACATATTATTAACTCCCTTGCATCTTCTATATATAATAATATGGGCATTATGAGAGGCAGCTAGGTGACACAAGTTTACAGAGTGCCATCCTAGAGTCAAGAAGTCCTAATTTCAGATCTAGTGTTTGATACTACCAGTGTGACACTGGGCAAGTCATTAACCTCTTCTGCCTCAGTTTCTTCATTTGTAAAATAAGGATAATAATCTGCCTCTCAGTGTTATGAGGGTAAAATGCTAAATACTTGTAAGACATTTTGCAAATCTTAAAGCACTATTTAAGTGTTTGTTGTTTCTAAAGTCCCTTCCAGCTTTAAAATCCCATGATTCTGTACTGTGAATCTGATCTTGGTCAGACTCCTTAAATTTGAGTTTGACAACTGAGAACTAACCTTGTCAGTTCTACGCTTTCTAATCTAGTACTATCTAGTGAATGCATGCTAAACATACGTTTGGGTAGGATCCTTTAGGACATATCCATGGAGAAAGATGGGGACAGATATAATTTTAATTCTATTTTTTCCATAATAACTGAAAGGTGTTATAGATAATAAACTTGTATTTATATGGGTGCTTTAACATTTTACAAAGTACTTTAAATATAGCAGCATCTCATAATAATCCTTTGAATTACAGACTGTAGATATTAACTTCATTTTGTGGATGAATCTCAGAGTGGTTAGACTAGTTATCCTCACGGTTTCCATGTATGTTGAGTCAATGTAAGAAATTAAATGGAAACTTGGGGTAGAAGCTGGAGGCGACATGCAAAGGCCAGTAGATGACTCAGAACCTATGACCAAATATCTAACCCATATTTTATAATAAGCTACTTAAACACCCCATAAAAGAAAAACAAAAAATTCAGACTTCTTCTCCTGTGTGAAGGGAGGGCCAAAAATTTTACACGGATTTTCCAAATTGTGGGGCTCCATGCCCCTACCCCTGTGATGTGGAAGAAAACTATTGTATTTGCCCATGGTGTTGTGTGTCTAGCAGATGTCTAGGTTTGAAACGCAGGTGTAGCTTCCAAATTTAGTGCTCTTTCTTCTACAAGTGTATTAACTTAAAGAGTAGCACAGATGGAGAAATTCTGAAATGAAAGGAACCTTTTCAAAGTTTGCCTTAGAGATTTGTGTTGACTTGTATCACTGTTTTCCTACAGTGAAAGTGATAAAATTCATGTAATGAAATTCTTTGGTTCTGGAAGGTACCAATTCAGAATCAAAATGACCCATGTAGAAGGAAACAGCAAATGGGAAGAAAGTTTGTAGGTTAGATCTTTAAGATTTCATCTCTGTGGACTCAGTAATGTAGATCACGTAAATATGCTTTTTAAAGATAAATTTTAACTAATACTTTTTGTTTTTGTACCTGCCTAAATTTTTCTCATGTTGCCCCTCCCCCCTTTCAGAGAGCCATCCCATGTAACAAAGAATTAAAATAAAAAAGAGGAAGAACAGGGAAAAAATTGTGACAACACATGCAATATTACACCCCTGTGGACCCATCTCTGCAAAGAAATGAGGGAGGTATCTTCTCATATCTCTTCTTAGTAGCCAAGCTTCTTGTTTGTAATTTTGCAGTATTTATTTTTGATTGTTTTGTGGGTTCTTTCCACTTACATTCTTGTAGTTATTATGTATATTTTTCTCTCGGCTCTGCTTATTTCACTTTGTTTCAGCTCGAGAAATTTTTTTTCCATGCTTTAATTGTATTCATCATATTCTTTGTTATAGCTGAGTAAGTTCCATCATATTCATAATGTGTTAGGCCAGTTGTTATGTTCATCCATTTCCCAAGCAATGGGCATCTACTTTGTTTCCATTTCTTTACATTCAAGATCTTTTAGTATTTTGTGGATAACAGTGTAGCACTTAAAGGCTGATCATCTATAAAGATTACATCGTAGAAAATAATTATAGATAGTTAAGTATAGAACTAGAAAACGGTCACAAAGCCAAACACTTATGCTTACTGATAATTACCAATCATAGTCTAGTGAAAATAGTTGGAGACGTCTATTTAAATGACACCTGAGACCTCAATTATGTAAACATAGCAATAGCTTGTTCAGGGTAACATAACATATTTATCTGAAGTGGAACTTGAACCCAGGTCTTCTCTTGAGTCCCATCTACCATACTGCATCTCGTTAATAATATTTAAAAGAATGAAATCTGTTGTACAGAGGGAAAAATACTGAACAAGGAATCATGAGACCTGATTTCTAGTCTCGGCTTCTGCCCTTGTGATCATGAGCAAATCACTTCACTCCTGGGCTTTAAGTTTTTCATCTGGAAAATGAAGTAATAGATTAAATGAACTCTAGGGTCTTTTCTAGCTATAAAATTATAAGAGAAATGTCTTCCACACTTTTGCAATCTCATTAGGCCCTAAACTGCTGGAACTTTTAGGAAGTGTACCTTAAAGTAAAAGTTATCTTACAAGGAGAAATTTATCAGTGTACTGTGCTACTTCACATAAAGACTATCTCTAGCCATAGCACTTGCTCTCTTTTCTTCTTAATAAGAAAACAAAAAGCTTAAAAATTAAGAAATAGTTATTTATATTCATGGAGACATCATACAAGTTTGTTTTCCTAAGTACTGCTAAGGCAGTAAGCAACATAGTAAACAAGAATTTAAGGTTCCTATGACATACATTCTTTCTTGGACATGAGAATACTGGGCATAGTCACACAATACTCTGTTAAGATACACACACACACACACACATACATACATACACATTAACTAAAATTACAGTAGAGTAGGTTTTCTAACTCATTGTCCAATATTTTGGGTGATCCCCATTACCACCACTGTCAACTGTAGTTGATTTAATATTGTTTAATACTGAAAAGGAGAGGCAGCATTGCATGTTGGTGAGAGGTGGTGACTTTGAAGTCAGGACAACTCGAGTTGAAGTCCCTCGGGCAAATACTAACTTTGACCCTGGGCATTGTCACTTAGTCCCTCTCAGTTCCCTGCGTTTTTAGCAACTGAGACTGTAAGTTGCACAGTGAGTGCAGAATCTGAATTGTACTTGGGGTTGCCTAAGCCAATGAAATCGCACATTAAGCCTAAAGTGATATTAATAACATGAGTTAAATTGCTATGCAAATGATGATATCATTTGGTTAGGGTAATTGAAGCATTGTGGTTCTGAAAGGAGGCTTTAATGTGAAAATATTGATTTGGTATTTTAGAACTCCTTTTCTTTAAATACCAAGTATATAAATGTAACCATCCTGTCTTTAGTCAGTATTGTTCAACACTGATTGGTCTAAGAATGGAGAGTTTGTAATAGTAAAGTAACAAATCCATTTCTATTATGAGTGACCCGTCCGTAATCCCTCCACCCCTCAATTTTATGAAGTTGGACTTTTGTTGTTAAAATTATAGAACTTAAAACTGGAAGGAATTGGAGATCTTTGAGTCCAACTCCCTCATTTTGTAGGTTAGGAAACAAGTCCAGAAAGTGATTTGCTTAAGGCCATATAGATATTAATGAAATGAAAGGTTTGGAATCCAAACTTAGATCCAGTGCACTTAGCTCAGTACCTGGCATATAGTAAGCATTTAATAAATGTGTTTTGATTGGTAGACTGATTATGTCCCCTGGCTCCAAGTCTGGCTCTTTTCAATGTACTATGGTTCCCTTGATAAGATTATTATTATTAAGGAATTACTATGTGCAAAACTGTGCTAGGAATTAGAGGTCCTCATAGGTCATGGGTGTATAGTCTTATTAGGAAGAAACATTACATAGATAAGTAATGATGATATAGGTCATGTTCATGTGTAAGAAGAAGAAATCAAAATGTTAAAACGGGTCACTCCTGCATTTTAAAATCCTCATGAAAATCAGGTGAGTATATTATCACATTGTCTAACTTTTTCTCCTTCCTTCTCAGGTGGCCAACATCGAAATGTGCAGCCATTTAGTGATGAAGATGCATCAATTGAGACTATGAGCCATTGCAGTGGTTTCAGTGATCCTGCTAGCTTTACTGAGGATGGTAAGCTTTCTTTTGCAACTGTAAGAGTAGATGTTGCTTCACATAAAAGGGTGTTTTAAAGTATCATTATGGAAAATCTTTTTAGAAACTGAGACAGGCAATTGCCCTATTCCTTCCTCTTTTTAATTAAAGCTAATATTTCTTGTCTTATATTTCATTAGGGCCAGAAGTCCTTGATGAGGAAGGAACTCAGGAAGATTTGGAATACAAACTGAAGGGATTAATTGACCTAACATTTGACAAGAGGTAAGCAGTATTTTGGGGGGAAAAATTTATGTGGGACATCTAATTACTTTACCTTTTATGTAGGTAGTTCTCTGTTGTTACAATACATTTTTTCTTAAGGTCTAAGCTATTGAATTTAAACTTTTTGTTTTCTTATTAAGAAAAGGGAGCAAGTGTTATGACAAGAAATAGTCTTTATGTGAAGTAGCAGAGTACAGTGATAAATTTCTCCTTTTAAGATAACTTTTGCTTTAAGGTATACTTCCTAAAAGTACCAGCAGTTTAGGGCCTAATGAGATTGCAAAAGTGTGGAAGATATTTCTCTTATGATTTTATAGCTAGAAAAGACCTTAGAGTTCATTTAATGTATTATCTCTTTTGGATTCTGAACCCAGGCTATGAAATTAATCACTGGAATATAGATAAATGGATTAAAATGTTAACACTGTGTTCACATGCAACTTGTAGATGTTTGGATTTTTAAAAAATTATTGATATGTTTTTGGCATGATGAAAATTAATTTTTAACTAGAAAGTACAAAAAAAAATTTTGTCCTCCTTTGGCCTCCTGCCTGGTAAAAGAGGAAAAGGGAGAAACAAATCTATTCAGTAGTTTCATAAGAACCATATAGTTTTTGTGAGTAAAGTATTTTTATGCTTTATTAGAAAATACTTGAAATGTGTAGAGTCCTAGAGATATAAAAAATGAGCTAACAAATGTCAGTCTAAAAGTATCTTTAGGTTTATTGTGTCCAAATGTTTTATTTTCTACAGTGCAAAGACAAGGCAGGCTGCTCTTGAAGGCATTAAAAATGCAATGGCTTCTAAAATTCTTTATGAATTTATTCTGGAAAGAAGAATAACATTAACAGACAGCATTGAACGCTGCTTAAAAAAAGGTAATGCTTTTAAAGATTGCTGGTGGTCATAGACAGTTATGTTTTGCACCTTCCTTAAAGTAGCATTGTGATGGCCATAATAATTGTGAATAGCCTTACTTTGGGATGACTGTCATTGGTTGTTGATAAGGTTTTTTTCTGAAAGTTTCTGATAATCTTTATACCGAGGCAATTTGAGGTAGATACAGTATGCCTTAATGAGCCTATTCAGGAGGACTCAGTACCATTTCTCAACTGTTTAGTACCCAACTGGGTTACTGTGGACAAGCCTTTGGTAGAAGATATTCCTGAATCTTCCCACTTCATTTTTTTAAAGCATTGATCATAACTAACCTAATACTTATGACTATATTGCATATATTATGGGGGTGTGAATTACAGAACGTTAGATAAGATGTTTTAGAACCCATTACTTATATTTAACATGTAAGTTAAATCCAGAGACAGCTAGGTGACACAGTGGATAGAGCGCTGGCCTTGGAGTCAGGAGGACCTGAGTTCAAATTTGCCCTCAGGCACTTGACACTTACTAGCGTGTGACCCTGGGCAAGTCATTTAACCTTGGTTGCCTCACCAAAAAGCAAAAAAAAAAAGTGTGTGTGTACATATAATCAATCAAGTATTAATTTGCTTTAATTTTACTTGAATGTCTAGAAATCTTCAGTCTCTGTAATTCTAAAATATTGATTTTAGTTACCACTCATATAAAAATAAATTTTTGTCATACAGAATTGTACAAATAAAAATTACTGGCTATCAAGGAAAATTTTATAAAGAGCTCTATGCAGACTGTAAGCCCAGGAATTTCCCCTTTTATTCTAAAGGCAAGCCCTCCCTGCTTTCCCCGCTTCCTTCTTCCCTTTGGTGTCCAGACATATCTCCATTAGGTAGGAGCAGTGACTGGTTATAGAGGACTCTTCAGGCATACTTTAAGGATGAGGTGGGGAGAGGGATGGTACTAACCCTAAGGAAGAAAAGAAATATACAAGTAAATACGTATTTTGCAGGGAGACCAAAGCCCTGTTTAAAGATGTAGTTTAGGTTAAGCAGTAATAGAAATAATCTGAAATGCTTTGGAAAAAATCAATCAGCAAGCGGTTATTAAGCTCTTTTTTTGTTGTTCAGTTGTTTCAGTCATGTTTGAATCTTTGTGACCCTATTTAGGGTTTCTTGGCAAAGATACTGGAATGATTTGCCATTTTCTTCTCCAGCTCATTTTACAGGTGAGGAAACTGAAGCAAACAGGGTTTAAGTGACTTGCCCGGAGTCACACATCTAGTAAGTGTCTAAGGCCAGATTTGAGCTCAGGAAGTTGAATCTTCCTGACTCCAGGCTCTGCACTCTATCCACTGTGCCACCTAGCTGTCCTAAGCTCTTATTTTTCACATTTTATTAAATTTTAAGCATTTATAGACTACACAGAGGCTACAAAGATAACTTGCTCTAGTTATCCATATGACACAGGAGTTTGGGAAATAGGCATTATAAAGTCAAATAAGACTGGTGTTATCATTTTTAGAAAAATGGTAATCGTCTCTTCTAAATCATGGTTAATTTACTTGTGGCCGTTGCATAGTCAGTTATATTTTACTTTTGTTTTTTTTCTCCAGGAAAAAGTGATGAACAATGTGCAGCTGCAGGACTGGCATGTATTCTTTGTGTACAGCTGGGGCCTGGAATTGAAAGTGAAGAGGTTTTAAAGACCCTTGGACCTATTCTAAAGAAAATAATTTGTGATGGAACAGCTAGTATCCAGGCTAGACAGGCTGTAAGTACTATGAGTCAGTGTTCCCAGTTTAAGTATTCCTCAGGGGAATCCAGGCATAAGCAGCACATGTATTTTAATATACGTCTTCTTTGATAACCATCTCTGTTTCTTCTTAGTAGTAGTAGTCCCTATTGATTTTTTCTTTAGTTTTAGGGAACAATGTTTAATGTTATTCAAATTATATCTCTTGCCTCTTAATTTTTTGAGATTTTTTTTTCTTGAATCATATTTAGCAGATTTCTGAAAGTTAAGCTATGTCATGCTATTAAATAATAGAATACATTACCAAGGAAGGTTGTTGGAAATCTCTTAAAATAATCCTGTCTTCCATCTGCTTGGAATAGTTTAGAATCAGGTATGCAAGCAGTTGAAAAAATAAAACATCTGACTACCCACATAGGTATGTAGCAGGAATAAATGGTGGGTTTTTGTTTTTCCTAATGGGGCTGAGTATCAGGAGTACCTTGCAGAGCTAGGATTTAATCTGTGCCATAATTCTCTATTCATTGATTTGTCTAGCTCAATCTGCTCTTGGTCTTTGCCAATGGAAGCACTTTGGTTAAGCACTCTCTTCCTCTTCAGATAGTCACATATATGCTAATCTGTTTTATTCCTCAGCTAGAATGTGTGCTCCCGGAGGGGGTACACTCTTAGCTTTGGTCCTTTTATCCCCAGACTCTAGGAGAGTACCTTGCATAGAGTTCATAATGCATATTAGATTGGATTTGAGGGCTTACTTGGAGTAGGTGAGATTCAGAGATGTCGCTTTCGAAGTGCTTCTTCTGATTTAAAAAAATCGTAAGTGCTAAAACACAAATTTTTATGGAATAAGGATTACAGATGAAGACTCTAGTTCCAATTCTGGTTCAGATGCTTACTAGATGTGTGATCCTAGTGGTCACCTAACTTATCCCAGCTGAGTTTCCACATCTGTTGGACTGGATGGCCTTTCAGATCTGTTTCAGTTTTAAATCTTATGATTCTCTGATTTGGTAACTAATTAGGATTAGGGGGTTATTTTCAAACTCACTGTTTTAAATTGTGTATAATCAGGTACTGCATAGAAAAAGAATTTCTTGTCATGTGGTGGCAGTAATTGCAAAGAGGTCGATAATATGTAATTAGTCTAGGATATGTTATCAGTCAAAAGGAATCTCAATCTGACCCATGAAAAGTCGGGTTCTGAGGATCAAGAAGGACAAAAGAGCAAAGAACAAACTTCCCTGGGATCAGCAATTTACTTTGATATAATTTTTAAAACAAAAATCTGTTCTTGAGCATCTAAAAAATTGTTTCATTCACAGAAGATAAAAGTAGGTTGATTTTAGTGATCTTAGTAGAAAAAATGCCATTTTTCTTTGTTTCTATAGAAGAGAGATTTCTAAACTTGGTGTAGCATGAGAATCCAATTGACTAATTATACAAATTAATATAAAGAAAAAATAGAGCACCCAGGTGCTGAAAAAGAGCAGTTTCTTTTTAACCTTTTCCTTTTGCTTATCAGCATTTCGTGACATGTTTTTTAATGAATTGTGTGAGATTTCATTTGATATGATTAGGGAGAAGAGGTAATGGAAATAATGGTGTTTATTGATTATGGGGAGTGAATTGATGGCTTCAGTTTATATTGCAATTATATCATTTATATGAGTTAGTCTTATGAAATTGTTTAAAGAATAGTAGGATCATGGAATGATTTACCCAAGTCCACAATCAAATTCTGGCAGAGCCAGAACTAGTCCCCAAATATGTTAACTCCTGCTCCAGTGCTTTTCTGCAGTGCTGCTCTTGGGGACTTAGAAATAGATAGCATTTAAACAATTTTCTCATGAACTTAAATTACAATTTAATTAGAAAGCCTTCAGTTAAATAGAAATAAAATAGTAAGCATTAAATTACCTCCTTTGTCTTCTATGTTTAGTGTGCAACTTGCTTTGGAGTTTGCTGTTTTATTGCCACAGATGACATTACTGTAAGTATAAAACTTAAAATACGTTTTATTACGTGTCTAGCACAGGGCTGGGGAATCTTCGGCTTCAATGCCACATGTGGCCCTCTAGGTCCTCAAGTGTGGCACTTTGACTGAATCCAAACTTCACAGAACAAATCCCCTTAACAAAAAGATTTGTTCTGTAAAACTTAGACTCAGTCAAAAGGCTGCATCCAAGGATCTAGAGGGTCACATGTGGCCTTGAGGCTGCAGGTTCCCCACCCCTGGTCTAGTATAATAAAGTTTAAATTGGTCATCTTAATTTATGTTCTTGTGAATTAGGAGTTATATTCAACTATGGAATGTTTGGAAAATATCTTCACCAAGTCATATCACAAAGAGAAAGACACTAATGGCATCTGCAGCACCCCTAATACAGTGCTTCATATCAGCTCTCTTTTAGTGTGGACATTGTTATTGACTATCTGCCCAATCAGTGAAGTGAAGAAAAAGATTGAGATGTACGTATTTAATTTTTGTCTGTTTGATTTCCAGAAGGCAATATTTGTTTCCTGATAGTACATTTAGGTGTAAATTTATTTTTAAAAATTTCTTATAAATAGTGTAATAACAACTAACTGTTTTGTAGGCATTTACACAAACTTCCGAGCCTGCTCTCTTGTGATGATGTAAACATGAGAATTGCTGCTGGTGAAACTTTGGCTCTTCTTTTTGAACTTGCAAGAGAAACTGATAATGTAAGTATGTCATGTTCTTAGTGAATTACATTTGTATTTATGGCATAGTTGCACTTGGTTTTTTGTTCTTTTACCAACCTTTTGGATTTAGAGTAGTATGCTATTATTTATTTGAAGAATTGGTATATCTCAAGGGGGAAAAAACCGATAGTTTTAGGTAGTTATAGGTAGGTACAAGAATTGCAAGCTCATTCAAATGGAATGAGTGCCTAAAAATATCAATCAAAGGGGTAATAATGTTACATACAACTTATGTAGTATTTTGTGGTTTACAAAATGATTTTCCACATGCATCTCTTTTGATTCACCAAATTATTCTAAGAGGTAGATGGGGTAACTGCTTCCCTTGTAGCTGAGTAAACAGAGATTAAGTGATTTTTCTTTTTCTCAGATCAGAAACTGTTGTTCAATTGTGTCCAACTCTCTGTGAACCCGTTTTGGGGCTTTCTTGACAAAGATACTGGAGTGGTTTGCCATTTCTTCTCCAGCTCATTTTATAGATGAGGAAACATGAGGTAAACAGTTAAGTGATTTCCCCAGGGTAACATAGCTAGTAAGTGTCTGAGGTCAGATTTGAACTCAGGAGGGTGAGTCTTCCTAACTGCAGGCCTAGCACTCTTATCCACTGCCATCTACCTGCCAGTTTCTGAGCAGGATTCAAAATCTTCCTGATGCCAAGTCCAGTGTTTTTCATCTACACTATGCTGTCTTCCACAAATGATAAGAAATTAGCCCTGGCATAATATAGACTCATGGTTAATAAGACCAGTGCTGTTAATTCTTTTGGTAAGGAATCAGATTAATTTTTACTTGGACATAAAATCTAGCATCTAGTAGAATAAATCTAGCATCTAGTAGAATGAAGCATTGGCATGTACATTTCTCCAAGTCATGCCTAGAAATTGAGGGTGTTTTATTTTTAAACTCTGTAGCTCTTATGTACTATAATATCTGAAGATTGATAACAGGGGCTCCTTACCTTATATATTATTGGAGGATCCTTCTGAAATATTGAGAAGAGACCAAGTAGAAGAGTAGAATAAGGTTTTCCTCAGGTTAGTGGATAACTAGTAGAAGACTAGTGTAATACATCCCCATGTCTGGATTCATCCCTGTCTTCAAAAGGCAGATTTTCTGGAAATGACAGTGGTGAGCAATTTTAAGTAGAATTGACAGTGAGCTTTGTAGATAGGTATACTTAGTCATAAGTAGTCAGAAAACATGAATTTTGAAGCCTAAACTTTTCTTGTTTCCAGTATTTACCCACTACTTCTAAGTTATTCAGAATTGCTACCAGTCTTACTACCATCTTTCTCAAAGAAAGCACTTCCCTATTGTTCTTGTGATTTTTTTTTTAGTTGGCATAAACACATTCCAATTTATTTATTTACTCAAGTCCTAAGTTTTTTTTCTTTTATAATCTTTTATAATTAAGAACTTCTGAAATTAGAACGTATCTTGGCATCTTATTTTGAGAGGGTTTTATTTTGGTTTTGTTTTTGCATAAAGAAGAATTAAAAAAAATTTTTTTTTAAATTTTGAGGTCCAAATTCTGTCTTTTCCATCCCCTCCCCCTCTCACTGAGAAGGTAAGCAATATAATACCCATTAGATATGTGAAGTCATGTAAAACATTTTCCTATTCGCCATGTTGAGAAAAAAGAAAGAAAATAAAGTGGAAAAAAATATGTTTCAGTTTGCACTTAGAGTTCTTCAGTTCTCTCCCTGAAGGTGGATAGCATTCTTCATCTTAAGTCCTTTGGAATTGTCTTGGATCATTGTATTGATCAGAGTAGCTAAGTCTTTCACAGTTGATCATCATTACAATATTGCTGTTACTATGTGCAGTGGTTTCCTGGATCTGTTTGCTTACTTTTGCATCAGTTCATATAAGTCTTCCCAGGTTTTTCTGAAACCACTCTGCTCATGATGGGTTTTTTTGGCTAGGCAATGGGGTTAAGTGACTTGCCCAAGGTCACACAGCTAGTAAGTTAAGTGTCTGAGGCTGGATTTGAACTCAGGTCCTCCTGACTACAGGGCTGGTGCTCTATCCACTGCACCACCTCCTCACTTGCCCCCCTGTTCATTATTTCTTATAGTGTGATAGTATTCCATCACAATTATATACCACAATTATATAACTTGTTTAATCATTCCCAAATTGATGGGCATTCCTTCAATTTCCAATTCTTACACACCTCAAAAAGAGCTGTTATAAGTATTTTTGTACATGTAGGTCCTTTTCTTTTTTCTTTGATCTTTTTGGGATATAGACCTAGTAGTAGTATTGCTGAGTCAAGGGTATGTGCACAGTTTTATAGCTCTTTGGGCATAGTTCCAAATTGTTCCTAAATTTTTGGTTTTAAGTTTAGTTAGTAAGATGGAAGTGTTAGTTTTCGAAATATCTTGGTCAGCTGAATACTTGAAGGGGAAAGGTGCGCAGCTTGTGCTTACTAAATACGCTACAGATTTGTTCCCCAGTTTCATCTCAGCCCTCACTGCTGCGTGGCAGTCCTTTGGGTATTTCTTAACTTATTACACTCTCCATAGTGGTTATCCAGACATCCTCTCTCCTCAGACTTTCTCCTCAGTCCTTGGCCTTAGCAGGTCTTTATCTTCTCTTTGACAATTAAAATAGAGGCTCTGTGTTGCAATACAAACTACTCTCTCCTTACTCTTCACCTCAGAACTATTCTTAATCATTACTCATTATCTCTTCCTTTCCTCCAATCTCTGATTAAGAGGTAGGTTATTCTCCTTGCATCACAGTGACTCCCCTTGTTTTCTCCATCCACTTCTGTCTCATTTCCTTTGGGAACTTGTTACCCTTAATCAGTTACTCTTTTTTATCCACTAGCTCCTTTTCTGTCCTCTTAAAAACATAACTATGTCTCCTCCTTCCTTAAAAAAAAATTTAAAAACCCTTGCATTGACCCTTCCATTCTGTCAGGTATATCTCTTCTTCCTTTGACAGCCAAACTTCTAGAAGGGATTGTCTGTGTTAATTTTCATTTCCTTTTAATTTGACTTCAACACTGTTACTCACCTGTGATTGTAATCTTATAATTGCTAAATCCAGGGGCTTCTATCTCAGCCTTCTGTTTGACCTTCTGCCACTACTCCTTTTTAGCCTTCTCCTCTGCTAGATCCTCATATTCCCCAAGGTTCTATCCTCCCTACATGTTTTTCCTTGGTTATTTTATCAGTTCCTATGGATTCAGTTATCTGATTGTAGATGACTCCCAGTCTGTATCACCCATTTGGAATTCAAGATTGCCTTGTGGGACTGGTTTGTTTTGGGTATATCTGTCTCCTTTCTCTAACTGTTAACGTCCTACTGGGCAAAGACATGTTGTGTGTTCTTTTTTCCTGCCCAGTGCTTTGGACAGACTTGGAATACAGAGACAGGTTGAACTGATCTATACAAATAAATGTAGCAGGGGAAAGGTAACTGCTTTCTCCGTTTGTGAAAGTGTTTGGCAAATAAACGTTCTCCTGCATTTGGTGTTTACGTGTCAGCTTGCTTACTCAAGTCTTACCTAAAGTGTAGGAATAGCTGGATACTGAGGAGGAAGTTGGTGCTTGTTTTGCCAAACTGAAAAACTCTTTACAGTGTGATCTCCAGAAAAGGTTAGAAATATGACCAGGAAAAACCAGTTTTGTTTTCTTTACTAGGATTTTTATCATGAAGACATGGAATCACTGACTCAGAAGCTCAGAGCTTTGGCTACAGATGGGAATAAACACAGAGCCAAAGTTGATAAAAGGAAGCAGCGGTCAGTCTTCAGAGATGTTCTAAGAGCCGTGGAGGTAATCTTAAATTCTTTGGCTAGATTATGTGAATCTGGAGCTATTTTTATAGACACTGTTAACCAGAAAAGCCATATGATTATTTTATACTCTGTAGAGTACAGTGTAATGTATTGTAGTAAAGAATGAGATTTCTTAAAGTGCTTTAGAGCCACACTAGATTAAAGATTACCACTTTTCATTTTTCAAAGCAGTTTTGCATAGTTTCTCATTTGATTTTTTTTTTCAACAAAAGGCACTAAGGCAGATAAAACCAATATGATCCCACTTTTACAGATGAGGAAATTAAGGCACTTAGAGGTAGTGGCTTGCCTAAATCAGTTATATAACTAATTAATGGCAGAGCTGGGATTAAAATTTATAGCTTCTTTCAACCTCATTCTCTGTCCTTAGATTAAACTGTTTGCCTAGCCTAGTTGTACTGACTGCTGTAGGTTTTGAGCTATATATTAGATATTAGATTAGATTAGATATTAGATTAGCTTTCATATTAGAAGTACATGACTTTTGTAGAATCATCTTTGTTACTATAGTCTGCACCATACAACTTTTTAAAAAAATTTACTTAGCATTTTATTTTTCCCCAGTTACTTATAAGAACAATTTTTTTTTTGGCTGGGGTTAAGTGACTCTAGGGTCATACAGCTAGTAAGTGTTATGTGTCTGAGGCCGGATTTGAACTCAGGTCCTCCTGAGTCCAGGGCCGGTGCTGTATCCACTGTGTCATGTAGCTGCCCCATATAAGAACAGTTTTTAACATTCGTTTCTAAAACTTTGAGTTCCAAATTCTCTCCCTCCCTTCTCCCCTCCACCATTGAGAAGGCAAGCAATTAGATATAGGTTATACATGTGTAGTCATGCAAAACATTTCCATAATAGTCATGTTGTGAAAGAAAACAGAGACCAAAAAAAACCCTCAAGAAAAATAGATAAAGAAAAAAAAGTGTGCTTCAGTTTGTATTCAAACACCATCAGTTCTCTGTCAGGGGATGGATAGCATTTTTCATCATAAGTCCTTCAGAGTTGTCTTGGATCATTGTATTGTTGAGGATAGCTAAGTCACTCATAGCTGATCATCTTAACAATATTGCTGTTACTTTGTACATAGTGTTTCACTTTGCACCAGCTCATGTAAGTCTTTCCAGGTTTTTATAAGAGCATCCTGCTCATCATTTCTTATAGCACAATAGTATTCCATCATAATCACATACCACAATTTGTTCAGCCATCCCCCAATTGAAGGGCATCCCCTTAATTTCCAATTCTCCACCACATAGCTTTTTTAAAAATTCCTTTTATATTATTCATTTGAGGTCCTTGGGCTGAAATAACCAATTGCTTTGCATCCTTATATGTCTTTTAAGCCTGGCATATAGGTGCTTAATAAATACTTGTTAATTGATTGTTCCTCCCATGCCCATTTTGGGTTTTATTGTAATTTTTCATTGTTTTGATCTTAAAATAACACTGTGATAATACAGTTTTTGTATGACTATAGAATATTATAACTTAGCAAAAATGGACTAGTTCATCTTTCAAGGACCTTAGAGTTCTAAAATTCTGTGATTCTTTTTTTGTTTGTTTGTTTTTTAGGCATTTGGGGTTAAGTGACTTGCCCAGGGTCACACAGCTAGTAGAATTCTATGATTCTTACAACTTTACTTAAGTATTTAGAATGGGAGGAAATAGTACAATAGTAAATATTCCCAGGCTGTCCTTCCTCTGCCTGTAAAAGTTTGGAAATGTCATACAGGTTAATAATAGGAAGAGAGCTAGCTGCTTCCAGTGAACTTGACATAATGTCTCAAAAAGAGCAACAATTTTGGAGTCATAGGATTTTAGATTGAGTGCTGAGACATTAGATATCACCTCTCTAGTTCAATCACCCCATTTTACAGAGTAGCAAAACTGATGCCCAGAGGGATTGTGACTTTCTCAAGGTCATACACAGAGGTATTAAGGGACAAAGCTGGATTTCGTGCTAGGCTTCTCTGACTTCCAAGTTCAATGGGAAAGTTTGCTCCGTACCACAAAGTGGCTTTCAAGTTCTGGCTTTTTCACTTAGTACATGTCACTCAACGACTTATCTGGGCCTGATTAAACTCTCACATGTGTAAAATGAAAGAATTTAAAACTAAGGTGATCGCCAAGGTCCTTTCAAACTATGATCTTTTAAAAAATTATTCATGTTTCAAGTATCATGGAAAGGAAGCCAAGTAACCTTTTGCAAAACTGCTTAGCACTGCGTTTATTTCAGCATCTCTGTGTTTAAAAATTCAGTTACCTGAGCAAATGCCTTAAATTTGCCTTTTTTTTTTTAATAGGAGCGTGATTTTCCAACAGAAACTGTTAAATTTGGACCTGAACGTATGTATATTGATTGCTGGGTCAAAAAACAAACTTATGATGCTTTTAAGGAGATTCTGGGAACAGGGATGCAGTATCATCTACAGGTGAGTTGCTACCATCATCTGCATTTTTTGTTTTTAAAATTTTGAGCAATTTTGCAAAGTTCCAAATTTTGAATAAGTTTAACTTTTGTATTTGGAATGTGAATGAATGCTTTTTATATAATATTTGAAAACTAAATAGATTTTTCTGATAAAACTTGTAAAAAATACACTGTACATTTCCTTAGATAGAAATATAAGGTCAAAAAATTAGTTTCTGGGATATAAATGTAAGACCTAAAGTTAGGGACAGTATCAATGATTTTATAGGTATGGCAAACTTTACTGGGTGAAGAAATTCCCATTACCACTGCAGGACATTACCTTCTTTGCAACTCTATAGTCTTAGACTATTGCCTGGAATCATTAAGATTAAGTATCTTGCCCAGGGTCACCATAGCCAGTATATATAAAAGGCAGAACTGGAACCCTGGTTTTCTTGACTTCAAGGCTAGCACTCTATTCACATTGCCTTTCTTTAAGTGTAAAACATATAGGAACAATTTACCGTAAGTCCAGAAATGGAAAACAACTGGCTGAAATTTGTATTTATGCTATTATTCTTTAAGGTTGCTATGTAATCTTTACTGACAGACCTTAAATTCTCATTGATTTATTTTTGTTAGTCAAATGAATTTCTTCGGAATGTATTTGAGCTTGGACCACCAGTGATGCTTGATGCTGCAGCTCTTAAAACAATGAAAATTTCGCGTTTTGAAAGGGTAGGTTTTTAAAGCCTTATTCAGTGCATTAAAGAAAAATTGAAATAAAATAACATTTGCACTATAAAGTAGATAGGTTTTAACCATGTCTTCCAGTGATTTGGACTTAATAATTAATGTTACTGTGATAATGATGCTGTTGCTGTGACCGTAGCTTTATTTCAGTTGGGTTGGGATTTGTTTTCATATTCCTGAATTATGGTTTGATGGACTAAATCCTTTGCATAGTCTGCCTGGCTTGTTTGTGGGTGCCACATGCACATATGCACAAGTATTTCTTATACATATAAGTATATATTATGAATGATCCTCTCCACCCCCAAAAACCCCCCACAGATGGCCACCTAGGAATGACTCCACCACAAGGAGTTCATTTTTCTGTCTTAGTTCCCTGTGTTGGAAATTTCTCTCCTCTCTTTTGTCTTCCCCTTGACAACTGTATATGCTTCTACTGTCTGGGATTCATCCTAATCTCTTAGGTTCTTACCTTATACCACTACTTCATGTCTAGATTCTCATTCAGTACATGGGTTGTCAGGCATGAAGGGGAAAGTGAGAAAGGTTGGAGCAGAGGCCAGAGACGTGTTTGTAGAATTACAAATTAGAAATTGTGCATTATAGGCTCATTAAGCCTTTGTGTTCTAGCTTTTGAATCTAACCATATGTAACGTTTTCATGAGAAAATTCATACAGTTTCAGGCAACAAGTTTGTAAACTCAGCTCTTGTAACACACTGTTCTTTTCAGTGTCAGGCCAAAAAATTTAAAAGTTTAACCATGTAAGGATGTACAAGTTTTACTTGACTCATTGTTATTCTTTTGTTTGGTTTTTTTTTAGCATTTATATAACTCTGCAGCATTTAAAGCTCGAACAAAAGCTAGAAGTAAATGCCGTGACAAGAGAGCAGATGTTGGAGAATTCTTCTAGATTTCTGTTATTTGAAGACAACTACTCATTTCTTAATTCAAGATCTTTTCTATAATTTCCAAAGTATTTAACAATTTTTATCATGGGGGTGGGGGGACAGAGTGAACGTATAACTTGGATAAATTTTGTAATGGGGCCTGAATTCCTTAAAACATTTATTAATACTGTATAACATTTATTAATGCAGTATTGCAAATGAGGGTAATTATTGAAGCTTCTTTGTATATAGAATTAGTAAACTTTTAATAAAGTTTTTGTAATATTTGATCAGAATCCATTTATGAAGCAGGGCAAAAATTCTTATGGTTCATCTCAGATAATTCCTTGAATGAAAATGGCATGTTATAAATTGTACAAAGTTACACACACACATATCTTAGACTCTTTGGTTTCCAGAAATGTTAATTGACTATTACCAATCCAAATCTCTACCCCTTCAGGTTTATAAATTTCTGCTGTAAGGTAGAAAAATAGTGACCTAATTCTGAAAGTTTCTTAGTTACTTAAAAAGCTGCTATATTTGCCCTTTAAATGGAACTTGATAATTGTAATTGTTCAGTTGGCAGACTGGACTTAACAAGGAATTCTGTTGCACAATATGTGCAGACTTTCAGCTACACAAAGGCATTAGACGTTGCTCTTGGTATTAATGAAATGTTATATGCCATATCACTTATTAAACATCTTTAAAAGCAATAACACTGATTTTATCTCCTGTGTAAGACCATGTGTTCATTGCTTTAAAATAAAGATCTTTTCTCATTAAGTGTTTTCTTTTTTCAACAATGAGAAGTTTTTTATTAATTGAGGTAAATACCTGTAATTGACTTTGGAAGAACAAACAGTTTAATCCTTGTACTGATGCCAAAATCTGCAAATGCATGTGCCATGTGATTGGTACAAAAAGCTAATGACTGACTAATAACATGGATTAAATACCTCCTTGAAATATTTTTTCCTTTACAAGTAGACAAAAAAAATTAAAAGCAACTTTCTAATGTCTTAGTCCCTTTGAAATTTTCCAGAAAACATTGTTTGAAAGTTTGAAACTCATTAAAAATCTAGAATGTATTGTTGGCAGAATACTGACTATGTAGAGATTGTGATGATCAGATAGTCAGAATGGCTTCCTTAAACAGTAGGTTTTGCCAGATTAACTTTATTTCCTTTTACGGGGGTAAGATGTTAGATTAGTAATTATGGAAATGAATTTGGCAAGGTTCACTGCTATATTAATATTTTTATTAATGGTTTGGATAAAGGCAGAGATGACAAGTCGATGAAAGAGCATTGAGGCCCATCTAATAATTTAGATTTCAGTATTAATAGGGATGAAGTTCAATTTACAAATTAAAAATGAGGGAAGATCTGGTACACATCAGTTAATCCAAAAAAAAGAAAAAGGATTTGTGCAAGCTTCATATGTGCGATGTTGTGTAACATTCCCTTGGACCAGTTGCCTAACCAACATTCATATTGGCAAGCTGAATCCCCAGAGAGAGGTTCCTTCCCTTGGAACCTAAGTGTAAATCTGAGGGGTTGAAGTTTCTAGTTTGTTGATAAGCTCCCATTTTGTGTGCCCCATCAGTCAACCAACTGATTAACTTTTACTTTGGGTTATTTACTAAGAAGATTAGAGCAATAGCAGTAGTTACATGGGAATCCCCCCTCCAAACAAGAAGGTTCCCTCTACTCTTTGCATACACATGGCCCTTGGAGAGTAGGCTGGTCCTAGGAGTCCTTTCCTAGACCTGCCAAGCTCACTTTGGGGCAAGGGATTGTCAGTGTACAAATTACTCCTTTGCTCTGCTAGCTATGCTTCTTGAAGGCTGACAGGTTAATCTACTGGGTTCAGTCAAACTAGTTCAATCATGTTTAGCTGATGTTGCTACTAGCTCTACTTGCTGATAAGACCTTTTTTATAGACCCTTCCAAAGTGACAGATTATCTAGGCACTTCCTAATACTTGCTTACCTAAAATCTTTGAAGGATAAATAAAAAAGAAACTGCACTTGTAAACTTGTGCTGGCCAGGTGGGAGATAGGGCAGTTTCCCTTCCTCCACTAGAAGTACTTGCTACCCAGATAAGGGAGTGGTAACACTCCTTTAATATAGCCATACTAGCAGGCAATTAAGGCTTTATCACCAACCACACAATACAAATACCCTTGTGTGATGGCCAACAAAGAAATCAGTCAGAGGATATCTGTATGCTCTGAAAGGGGTGGGAGTTGAAAAAGATGCTCTCCATCATGCATATGTTGAAATGACCATCCTAAGCTTCATGGACCTTCCTGGAATACTGGCTGAATACTCCCTAAATATGAGTATGAGTGTGTTTTGGGAGAGAGAGCCAATGATTTATTTGCAAAATATCTCATTTGATTCTCCAAACTGAGGCAAGTACTACAAGCATGTTTTGCCCCATTTTGCAAATGAAACAAGCTTTTAGAAGTGAAGTAAGTGACTTGCTTGTGGTTATATTACTATCAAATGGAATTTAAACTCAGGTGCTTATGACTCCCAAGGCTGATGTTCTATTTACTCTGTTAGACTACTTAAAAAAAAAGCCATCTTGCCCTGCATAGCATCCAGGCCTGCTGTAAGTGCCTCCAGACTACATCCTCAATATTGTGTTCATTCTCAGGAAACCCTGTTTAGTTAAGAAAATGCCTGGGAAAACCATTACATTGTGAATTCCTTGAGGGCAGAAACTACTTTTGTCTTTTTTTGTATTCCATTGAAATGATAAATTATGAAATAGAGGCAGGCATGCCCAGGGTTCTTTGGGTACTCCCTGGGAAGACCATGATGAGCAGCGGAACCAGGGAGGCAATCACACTAAACAGAGGGTATGGAAGCAAAAAGCCTATATAGGCAGAGACAGATGGTACAGGGGCGGACTGCAGCATAAGGACAGGAAATGTGATGGTGAAGGAAAGCAGGCACTGAGGAAAAGTAGGGGAGGCAGAGGGATAGAGTATCACTCATGGGACCATGGATTGGAGTGGGGAGCACTAGGCAGCATGGACCTGGTGGAGAGGAAAGGGTGATCGGGGCAGGAATTCAAGGTCTCATTTTTAATACGGTTGTTTCTTTTGGGGGGAGGGGCAAATGGACCAACTCCTATCTGTGTCACCTTGGGGTAAAGTTCATTCCAAATATCCAAATTGTTTCAAATGTTATCAGTAAAACTTCAGTTACATCTCAAAATTATGAGCACCTTTTCCATGTTCTTTTGCTTTGGAACTGTGGAGGTCTGGAATTTGCATATCTCAGGATCAGAAGGCCATAACAGCAAACCTAATTGGCTTCCACTGATTCATCACATTACCAGGATGTGAATTTTGGTTAATATATGATACTATTTTTAAATTATGCTCCTTTGATCTTTGGGATGGTTTGTATATGATTTCCAGATTCACTTTGTATTCTTAATGCTATTGCTCCTTTATTCAGGCTAATTATACACTTACTACGTTGACTAGAAGTGGGTAGAGGTGGTCAGGGGGACTACAACAAGATACAGTTTTAACACATGCACTTAGCAAAGTGGCTGGCACAAAGTAGGTGCTTAATAAATACTTATTGACTTGAAAATACAGAGGAAGGTAGCAAGACTGGTGAAAGATCTCAAGATCATGTCAAGAACACTGGTTAAAGGAACTGGGAATGTCTAGCTTAGAGAAGAGAATCCTTAGGGGAACATAATACCTGATGGGCTGCCATGTGGAAGAATTAGATCTGTTCTATTTGGCCCCAGATCCAAGAACTAGAGGTGTAATTTGCAGAGACAAATTTGGATTTGATATAAGAAAAACTTCATATGAGAGTTGGAATGATTTAGGAAGCAGGTTTCCCATCACCAGATATCTTCAAGAAAAGTGGTAAAGGGGCTTTGGATTATTTTGCCTTGGGTTCCTCCTGACCAACATCCTATGAAGTAGCCTTTCATTTAAATAAGTATAATTCTTCATTGCATTTGCCGAGAATTTTTCTGCTTAATCATTTAACTTGTAGCATAGTGCTCATTCTCCTAACACATCCTTTTCCAATAACTCTTGGTGTTGAAGGTGACCCTATGTTTTGGAAAGCTGTGTAAAACACAAGCCCCTAAAAGGGCCTTCCCGGTCCAGGGGTGGGGAACCTTTGGCTTCAAGGCCACATGTGGCCCTCTACGTCCTCAAGTGCTGCCATTTGACTGGATCCAAGCTTCACAGAACAAATCCCCTTAATAAAAGGATCTGTTCTGTAAAACTTGGACTTGGTCAAAAGACCGAACCCAAGGACCTAGAATGCTACATGTGGTTTCAAGGGCACAGGTTCCCCACCCCTGACCCTTTGGAGGAGTTGTTCACTAGAGTCCTAGTCACCAGGTAATGACCTCTTTGGGTCACAACAACTTATATGAAGATTATTGTGAGCTATGTAGTCCGAATCGGTGGAAGGAGCCAGGCTGATGAAATAACAGATATTAGAAAAATCAGGTCAAGAAGCAATTATTAAGTGACTTCCATGTAACAGGAGGGGAAGGGGATAAGAGAAAGACAGAGTATAATGTAAGAGAGGGTGGACTAAGAGAGGCAGTGGTTAGGAGCAAAATAGACTTTTGAGGAGAGACAGGATAAAAAAAGAGGAAGAAGAAAAACAGAAAGGAGGGAAATACACAGTAATCATAACTGTGAATGTGAATGGGATCAGCTGACCCATAAAATGGAAGCTGATAGCAGAATGGATTAGAAACCAGAATCTAACAAAATGTTGTTTGGAAGGGACGCACTTGAAACAGAAAGACACCCAAAGAATTAAAGGGCTGGAGCAGAATCTAATATGCTTCAACTGGAGTAAAAAAGCCAGGAGGTAGCAAACATGATCTCGAAGCAAATGCAAAAATAGACCTAATTAAAAGAGATAATCAAGGAAACTATATTTTGCTAAAAGGTACCATAGCCAAGGAAGTAATAGCAAAAAATTTTATAGCAAGTTTCTCTGACAAAGCTCTCATTTCTCAAATATGTACCAAATATAGAACTAAATAAAATTTATGAAAATAAAAGCTATTCCCCAATTGATAAATGGTCAAAAGATATAAACAGTTTTCAGAAGAAAAAATCAAAGATGTCTATGGTCATATGAAAAAAATGCTCTATATGACTATTGATTAAAGAAATACAAATTAAAACAACTCTGAGGTACCATCTCACACATATCGGAAATGACGAATGCTGGAGGGGATGAGGGAAAAATAGGTACACTACTGAATTGCTAGTGGAGTAGTGAACTGATCCCACCATTCTGGAAAACAATTTTGAACCATGCTAAAGGGCTATAAAACTGTGGACAGCTTTGACTCAGCAATACCACTCCTAGGTCTGTATCCCAAAGAGATCAAAGAAAAAGAAAAGGGATCTATAGGTACAAAAATATTTATAGCAGCTTCTTTTTGTGGTGGCAAAAAATTAGAAATCTAGGGCGTGCTCATCAATTAGGTAATGGCTGAACAAGTCATGGCATGTAATTGTGTTTTTTTTGTTTTTTGGTGAGGCAATTGGGGTTAAGTGACTTGTCCAGAGTCACACAGCTAGTAAGTGTCATGTGTCTGAGGCCAGATTTGAACTCAGGTCCTCGTGACTCCAAGACCAGAGCTTTATCCACTGTGCCACCTAGCTGCCCCATGGCATGTAATTGTGATAGAGTACTGTTGTGCTATGAGAAATAACAAGGAAAGTGGTTTCATGAAAAAAAAATACATAGAAAGACTTATAT